TAATATTCTCCAGGAACTTCCCGTCAAAAGTGGGGAAACAGTTTAGACTCATATACCTATTGGAGTATCAGGGAGTAGTTTAACCTCTTATACCGGTCGGAGGATTGAGAAACAGTTTATACTCGTATACTCTTTGGAGTTTTGAGAAGCAGTTTATACTCTTAGAGTTTTAGGAAGCAGTTTATACTCTTATACCGGTCGGAGTTTTTGCCATTCTCAATTGGCTTACCTTAGCGTTATGACGCCGGCTTCAACCAAGGTCTGAATGCTATTCTTGAGAGCAAAGCAATCCTTGGTGGGGTGAACGACCCTCCTGTGGTATGCACAGTACTTTGGGTCCGTAGTGTTGTCAGCTTCCTCCTGATTTGTGATAGGTGGTAGCTTGATCTTGTTACCTTCAAGGAGGGATTCGAAGATGGCTGGAACGTCTTCGTCCTTGAAGGAATACTCTCTTTGGAGTCTCGGACCCGAAGTCTTTTGCTGCCTTCGGGATTGCTGTTGTGACGCTTGATTAGCACCACCAGTAGCTGCAGGTGTTTTGCCCTTACCACGAGAGGCGAAGTTTGAGTCCAGAGGATTAGCCGTCGGTAGGTTCCTCTCGGCCTTCTTCCTTCGGAGGAAACGTTCGGCTTGTTCACCGCGCACCTTCAGATCCTTCCAAGTGTCAGACGGTGCTGTTCCCATTGCTTCCAACACGTCCAACGCAAGGTTGTTGTGGCAAGTTTGGAGGATGAATTCCTCTGTGATCGGGTCCCGGCAATTCATCGCCTTGTTCCGGAACCTTTTGACGAAGGTGTCGACTAACTCCCCGTCCTTCTGCTTCTCATCGAGCAATGATCCGATAGATATCTCGGTGTCGTCGTCGAAGAAGTTGGCCAGGAACTTGGTCTCCATGTCATCCCAGCTGTTCACGTTTCCTGGCTTGAGGCGGCGGTACCAATCGAAGGCGGCTCCGCGAAGAGTGCCGACGAATGACCGCACCATCAGAGGCTCATTGCCGGAAATAATACCCAGGTGCGATTTGAAATAAATCAAATGCTGAGTGGGGGAACCCTTCCCATCGAACGGCGTGAAGTTGATTAAACTGAACTTCGCCGGATAGGGGATCGATTCCCATTCTCGTGGGTATGGACAGGGAATGCCTGTTTTCTTCGTCTCTTGAGCGGAGATCAATGTGTTGATTTTGCTCTCGAGATCTTTGATCTTCAAGTCTTCACTTGTATCTTCGTTGGCATCCTCGTTACCACCCCCTGTATTGACAGGAGGGTTATTGGCATTGTGAGCTTCATCCCTATCTGCGTGCTCCTTTTCCTGAATAATCTGGTTACGGCGGTTCGATTCACTTTGCTGGTTCCTGAATGCATGGATTTGCTGCTCATGCATCTCTCTCATCTGCTGCATGGCCATCTCCATCTCGAATTTGAAACTTTCTTTCTGCTTAGCCAAAGCGTCTTCAAGCATCTTGGCCATTTCTTCCGCGCTTATCATAAATGACTCGCGGGGTTGTCCTTCGCTGGACACTGTATTGTCCGATGCGACAGCAGAGCAGGAATCCGATTCTTCATCTTCCGAAGGCAATCTTGTCCGAACCCTACCATAAGTTCCTCGTGCGATGGCTCCGGACTGCAGACGGGTTACACGCCGGGACGCTTCCAGAAACGATTTGAGATCAATCTGTGTCGATGTCTCTTTGCTGGTCATGTTGGCGGTGACCCTCGGAAATTCTCCGTCTTTAACCACCGTTCTTCTTTGCCGGAAACGCCTATGCCTTGGTTTTGGCGTTTCGGTATTAAGCCTTTCGAACACTGAGATGAACCGAGGCGCTCCAAGACTGACTTTCTCCTTCGGGAGGATTCTGCATGATCTCCCGGAGTAGCTATGGGAATTCTCGGCGACTTAGCTGGGTTCGCCGGAGGTTGAATTTTGGTTGGAGGCTGCAGTTGCTGCTTTTTGGTCTGAACCGCCGCTTCAGACTTCGGCCTCCAAACTTTGCGAGTTGGTGACGGCTTCTTGGCCACTTCTTTCTGCAACTTTCTACGGGCTTCTTCGGCTTGAGCCCGTGCCTGCGCTGATAGTGCGCGGCGTTTGCGAATGCGTTCCTCCAGCGTTGAACGCGGCTTGGAAGAGGCGCCGTTCATCTGTTGTTGAGGCTGTTTGCCTCTCTTGTTCTTCAGACCCGCGTTGTAGCGGACTCCGTCGGTGGACTCCATCGCTTTGGCGAATTGTTTGGCCAAGCGTTGGCGTTGCCTTTGGCGGGCTCTCTTTGAGAGAGTCACCGCTCCTTTGGTGACGGAGGAATTGGTTGGAACCAGCTTGATCTGGTTGGAGGTTGGTGGAGCCTCACCTGACGCAACTTTGGCGTCAATCGAGATGAGGTCGTCGTTGGTAGCTTCAACTTCTTCGTACCAACGCACCTTTCTGTTGGAAGAGAACTTGGACTTCTTGGACTTGCGGGGGGAGGTTGATCTAGACGAGGATGAAAGGTATTCCTCGAACTTGGTCTGATCGAACTCGTATTCGACCTCCTCCACGACTGGGATCTGAATCCGCGGCTGCGACGCTCCGAACTCGGCAGCGAGGTCGGTGGCTCCCACTGTGGTCGCCAGATTGTTCGCGGGAAAAACCGTTGCTTTCTTTATTGATTCCATTGATTACTTTGTTAACAGTTTATCGGTTACAAAGATACGGTCTTTTTATAAGATCCGGTTACAATGAAAATCAAAATAAAATAAAAGAAAGATTACAACTTTTTCTCTTGTTTGTCGAACGAATCACGAGCTCCTGTTTTGCGGTCGCTCGCTTGGTGGGTTCTTTGCCTGCGCCGGGGTTGTTTGCCGTGGACCACCGCGAGATCTAGATCCGGTCGGATCTACGCAGTACGACGGGTATTATTTCACCAAGGAAATAATAGCCGGGGAGGATTGTTTCACCAAGGAAACAATCGTCCAAGTCTCGGGATCTAAGACCAAGCTTAGATCCGGAGTATGCCTGCGTAGATCTGAGATCTGATCCTCTTCGGCTTGGGCCGAGCCACCTGAAGTTGGCTCGGCTTCGGCCGAGCCCCTCTAGGTGGTGGTTTTGGTGTTTTCCGCCTTTGGTTCTGTCCGTGATTCGGTTGATCCAGACTCTGATTTGATTCCTGATTTGGCAGTAAGTCGGATTCCTGATTTGGCAGTAAATCCGCTTCTGAGTTCGAGTCCGAAACTGATCTTGATTCGATCGTCATTCGTCCGAGTATGCCTTTGGTTGGATGACTCGTTGACTCTTCGAACCCTTGGCTTGATCCCGCACGTGTATGGATGCATTCCGTCGCTTGATGCGATTCGTCGATCTCGTCGCCTCGTTGGTTCGTCGGTTTGTGCCGAGCTGAGCTAAAGGACCTATAAGCAATTTTATATGCCTACACTACAGTAGTCTCTTTCAGAGCCTATGAGGGCTTCTTGACAACCTCATCGCAATGCTCAAGAAGATCAGCATTCATCTCTTTGTAAGTACCCTAGCAGGGGTGAATAGGGTTATTGTTAATCTAATCCGATTTTGATGCCAAATTAAAAACTTATAATACAATTATCCTAACAATATGATATACACAAATATATGTAAGGATAAGCAATAAAATAATAGGTGATATAAACAATAAGCACAAGATATAAAGACAAATAGTGTGCCAAAACACAATCGCAAACACACGATATGATCACTGAGTTCGGTCTAACACTCGACCTATGTCTCCACTCCTCACCTTGAGGAGATTCTCCACTATCAATCAAATTCTACAGAATTCGGTTTCTAAAGATCACCAAAAACTTTTACAACTCACACGGTGTTAATTCCACAAGCTACACTCCTCTAAGTGTTGGCCTACCCGTGTTACCTTCCTCAAGCATTTGGATTTATAACCTCTCCCTAGGCTTTACTACCAACCAACTCCTCTTGAAATTAACCCCGATCTCTCCCAACTACTTTTATAAGTGTCCTTGTGTATTACAATGTGTTTAACAAATTAGTGCAATATAAAGAATTTGTTCTCCAAGACAATGAGAACGAAATTGTAAGCTCACTCTCAATGAAACACTCTCACAACCCAAATATACAATATGTGAAATACTAAAGCTCAAGTAGGTGTGGGTGTAAATAATGAGTCAAATAAAATCAAACTCAAATAAATCTAGCTCAAATATGATAATCAGAATATAAATTAGAGAATGAGTTTATACAAACTCCTCTAAACAAAGAGATGTAGATATCGATGTTTGAGGTTGAACTCCTCAAAATCGGCATTGAAAGCCTTCTCTTTGTAAAACTCTTTTGTATAAACCAAAACACACTTAAACTCTTGAAACAAACAGGTGAAAACTCAGTTAAACATCCATGAAAAAGAAATGAGGCTTGAGGGCCTTTTATAGCCTCTCAAACAACAAGAAACAAAAACTAGTCGTTACAGGCTATAAAAATTGCTCTAGTTGGTCGACTGATAAACAAAATCGGTCGACTGAAAACATTATGCCTGGTCAACTAATTCAAATAATCAGTCGACTAATAACACTGTAAAATAAATATTGTAAAAACTTGTTCTGGCAAGTTGACTGAGAAACAAAAGCAGTCAACTGAAGGCTATCGGTCTATTGGTTAAGGCAACCGGTCGACTGACTATAGATACATAGATTTTTTGACTTATGAAAAGTTGATTTTGTAAATTTAAAATAAAATAGCAAATCAACTCTAAAATTAGTAAATTTTGGGGAAACATTTGTACACATGAAAATAAACATGTTAGAGAAGAAATTTCTAAAATAGCACTTCATATTTGTGAAAACTCAATGTATTGCAAAATGGTCAAAAATACGAATTGTAAAATGCTTGATTTTGATGAAATTTCTTCAAATAAGTTTTGAAATACTTTTAAATAGGTTAATAGACTTTAGAAAGAATGCAAAATAGTATTATTAAGTCAATAATCCAGAAACACGTCTTATCCCTAAATAGGTGTATAATACGATAAGTCGAATTAAACGTGTACGTGTATGAATTGAGCTCTAAGTATAAACACATAAAGTATAAAAACTAAAATATTATATCCAAGATAAATATTATGTATGAAGCTTGATCTTAGATGGTCCTCCAGCTTGATAAAAGGGATGAAGTACAAACTCGTATGTTTGACTTGAATTGTGACGGCTTCATTCTAATTTCCACCAACCTCTAAAATATCGTCGTTAAGGCACAAATCCTTCCAACCTCCAACCTAGATACATATTGTAGGAAAACACGAATACTAGAAAATACCATTAGGAATTGTTTGTTAATCATCAAAACTAGATTAGACAATAGGCTCATAAATATGAGACCTAACACTCTTCCCTTTTAGAAAGAAGACTAAAGTAAAGAGGGTATTTGAAGCATTAAATAAGTAGATTTCTGTTGCTAGACATACCTCCCGGTGGGGAAGGATTTCACTTGCCCATCCTCCTTCTCCACCGATGAGCCTTTTGGTGAAAGTGTCGTCACTTCATTGGTAGGGTCATGCAAGTAGTGTTCCCCATCTAGAGAAATGAAGGATACCCAGAATGAGGTCTACAACAAGCATTCATAGGAAGGGATAGCTACTAGTCATGCTTTAGGACTTACCCGAATCATGAAGCGAGGTCCATGACTCTCCCAACAATGATATATCGCTACTTACATCTACTATAAGCAATGGATCATTCCCCTTGGGATCACTGGAGTGCCTACACGGTCGAATTGTGCCACAGTCTCGATGTCTGAAAATACTAACGCAAGACGAGTTAGTAGAGCCTAATGTTTAACAAAAAAAAGAGGGAAATGTGTACAATACAGCACTAAGGAGGCCGCCTCACCTTGACTACTACAAGGTTTGTATGGGATCACCACCATTGATAATCCTCCTAGTGATAGCTCCTCCTAGTGATGGATCTATTGTGTCGGCTCCTATAGAAGATTGCAGCATTAAACCCTCACCTGACAAGATAGTGGCAAGAGGTGCAATACCTTCTATAATGCTAGTATGAAGTTAAATGCTCGAAAATTCCCCAAGTAGCTTCAACTGCTCTCAGACTTGAGGTCACAATGCTCTAATAGAGCTCAATCTTTCCCTTTCTCTTCTCCCTCCTTAATTGTAGCAATCGAGATTGCTGAAGAGTATGCATGGTCCCAAATGCCGTATTGCCCTTGACTCTCCATGGCAGCATCAAGCCCCAAATCATCCCAATTAGTAAGGACCCTACCCCACTCCTAATCAGTTTCCACCATATATCTCAAGTAGATAAATTTGAACTGTTCAATTTTGTTGATTCCTCGATTTTTGACACGTGTCTCTTATTTCTCTAATTTCATAATCCCTCATATAAAAAGTCACAAATGTATATATTTATCTTTTGTTAAAAAGTCAAGCTTTGAGTTTTAATGTTGTTTTATTGGATTTTCAAAATGATTTGGCGTTTGAGAGAGAATTAATGGGTTTTATGGCATATTAAATTGTAGAATTGGATCCATTAGAGAGGATATCCATTAACACACAACCCATTTTATAATTTCTCACATAAAGTCTCATTTTCTTTCCCTTAAAAGATTAGGGATTTTGGAGAGCTTAGAAGAGAGGAAAATGTACATCAAAGGCAAGTGCTTTCTTGCTAAAAATTTTTATTTTAAAAATTCTAATTCATAGGTGTTAAATATCGCACTCTCCTCTTGCTTTTGATACACGTTTTGTTATGATTGGATTTCTTTTGGATTTTTGTAGGTTTTGATCAAAGAGAGGATCTCTCTAAGAGGTGAATCTCAATCCACAATTTCTTTTAGGAGAGGCAACCATTATTATAGATAAATGATACTTTTACAAGATAGAGTCATTATTCCATGAATTGAGATATTTTTCATGGATTTTGGTGTATCTTGATATCTCTGCACTTTGATAACATTTTTAGATGAAAATGAGTAGTTTGAATAAGGGGTTATCCTCATTTTCGAGTTAGATTATGTATGGATTAGTGAATGCTTGATGTTTTACGGAGTAAATTAGTGGAATAGCTTTCTTTTGGTAGTACAAAACTTAAATAAAGTTGGTTTTTGATTTTATTTTAAATAGGTACAGTATTAGATCAAAAACATTTTGGAATTGTCATTAGCACGGGCATATGTGCTTGACCTAACCAGCACACACGCTTAGTGAAATCCCAAGAATAGTTTGTTTTATAGTGTTTGAGTACATGCGCCCAAACAATGAATGCACGTGCTCAAGTACTTTTTCGAAGATGATTTTCTTTTAGATTTTTATCAGTATGCTATCAGAACTTGTCTGATGTGGCATTTGAGTGAGCACATGTGCCCGACCTCTAAGCATACGTGCTCAGTATAAGAAAATAGATTCTTTCAATTTTAAGAAATTGATCCGTCTGAAATTGTTTTCCATGATTCCTTAGTTTCCTTTGATGGTTTATAATATCACTTATTTAATTAAGCTTTCTCTTGCCACCTTGAGATATAAATAAGTAAATAATTTTATGTGGGAGATTTCAAGTAAATATGGTACTATAAATTAACTACCCAATCTAGTCTATCTCTACGAAATCTAATATTCCATTTTCAAAAAATTTATAATGATTTTAAAATTTTATATCTTTGAACAATATGGTTAGGGCATTTGATGAGATGAAAGGTTCTTCAAGGAAGAACAACACTCCGAGTAAATGCTAATAATCTTAATATATCTATAATTAGAGTGTATTAATTCTTCTCTTAAGGTGCCAAAAATAATTCTTCCGATGTTAGCTTAGGATAGAGTAGTTTGAGATACTTTTTATTGTAAGATCCATTTTCTCTTGAGAGCATGAGATTTTAGTGAGTACTGAGGCGGCAATATTAACTCAGAGATTTAAGGCTAGTCAGTATAAGATTTGGAAGTGATAAGATTGTTCGATATGGTTCACTAGGTGGATTGTAAAAAGGAGCAATCTTATTGAGAAGTAGACGGCAATCTAAATGCAAAGAGCTTCTAATATTGCTCTTATTGGGATAAGTCTCTTTTACAAGGATTCGAGTTCTTATTATTAAGTTGGATTCAAACATGATAACTACTAAGTAAAGCATCGAATTCATCTACATATGATGACCTACATGATCAGGTATCATGAGATATCTGAAGCTACGTTGAGCTAAAAGTGACAGATCTGGGTAGTTATCAGGACTTTAAATAACTCTAAGAAAGATATTACTTTTATTACAGATCACAGATGCAACAACAGCTGGGGATGTGCAAATAAAAGTGAACTTGGATCCTAAACACGAAATGTGCTAAAGGCTAAAATGTCTAGTTCAACTATGGAAGTTGAGGCCAAGGCACAAGACGAGAGTAATTGCAAAGGGTATATTAGGAGATTTTTTTAATAGGTTCTAAATAAAAGAAGCCGGTTAAAAGGTAAAAAGTCCAACTAATAAGAGAAAGATTAATTGATTTGACTGCAAATAGTCTATTATTTCACGCATGAGGGCGCATAATTGAGAAAACTTGGGACTCGAGGAAAACATTTGCAGGGCAGAGATGGTATTTATAGAATCCTAAATGGGAGTAGAAAAATCTGTCTAGAGATTATGTAATAGTGTTGGGTACTAATGCATAGAGATCTCCTCTAAGTTTAGAGAACAAATAGATGTTATAGGATATTCCATATTCTTTCACTAAGAGTAAGAAATCATCTCTTGGAAGTTAGGTTTGTGGGACTCTAGTTAGTATCCTATTTTTGGAGGAGCTTATTTAGATTAGCTTCAAGATTTCTCTGCTTATAAAACCCTAGCTAATCATTTAGTTGATTTTAGATGTGACTCATTACTAGGTAATCGAGTTATCTTCTACCTTATATTGTATCAAAAATTAAGATTGGATCAAATTTATAGTATAGTAGACTAAGTCACATTACAGGACATGTGAAAGATAACTAGGGATGGCCTCCTTAGTAAATGTACTAAGGTATTTTCCTTCTACAAGTATGGTCTCATGGGTAAAAACACTAGAAAGACATTTGGCAAGGCTATGAGCACATCAACTACAGTTTGCTCACTCTGATATATGTAGAGTGATATTTATGAAGGTACAAAGTACAACATCTTAATTCCTCATATTTATATGCTATTATTCTACTTACAATAATGTGCATCTGATTTCATGCCTAGTTAAGTGCTTGAATTTGTTTCATGCGCTAAATTAGTGGGGTGGATGATCACTTAAGCAAAAGTATTAGGGCTTTCTCCACTAATCATGAGAGAGTATCTATCTTGGAAGTCAGTGAACTATGTAAAGATAAAAGAAAAGTCATATAATTGGTGGTATCTTATATTCTACTACAAAATGGTGTTATAAAAATGAGTAAAATAACTCTACTAGATATAATTTAGAATAGCTACTCATTAGATTTTGAGGAGATGTTCTACTGATAGTGAAATATATTGTGAACCGTGTAACTTTGATATCGGTACAATCAATACGCTATGAGTCATGGACGGTTGAGAGACTTTGTTGGATTGCTACATCCATATGGGAGTGTTGCTTTTATACACAACTTTTTATTAGATGAGAAATTAAGACCTAGAATGTGGAAATGTATTTTCATACACTATTTAAGACACTCTGTAAGTTATGTTTACATGTAAGCAATATGATGAACCTGTGATCGACAGAGTTATGGTATATTAAGTTTACCGGGGATGATTTCTTGCACAAAGAAGAAATAAGTCAAGATTTAGGTTCATATAACATCAAGGAGACTATCATGGCTCCAGTAATGAAGGAATTGGTTCCTCTACCAACTAGGGATAGTGGGAGTAGGATACTTATTATGTGACTTGGAGCCATCTATAGAATCTCAACCCTGTTGAACATCGTTATATGAACCAGTACCCAAATGATATCTAAGACCTATGATGAAATGTTCATGGTAACACTGCATGTTGTTGTGAAGACTAAGTCATGTGAGGGCACTATTTTTGTGTATATAGGAAAGGTTAAAAATTAGCAATGGATGGAAAGTTGGAGTTTATATGGAAGAATCAAGTTTAGGACTTGGTGAATCTCCAACCAAAATGCAAGATCACTAAAAACAAATGGGTTTTCTTAGTCAACTAGGTTGGGACATACAAGTGGTGCAGGGCATACTTGATAGTGAAAGAGTAGACAAAAGTAGTAGGGTAGCCTACCCAAAGAGACGTCTTCTCTGGTGATGAGAATCACCTATATTTACATGATATGGACTCTTGTAGTGTAAATGAATCTTGAACTAGTCCAGATGGATATCAGGATAGCTTTTATCTATATAAAACTGGAAAAAGGGATCTATGTAGATCAACCTATGTTTCATAGCTAAGGGACTTGAGCACAAGGTGTACAAGTTAAAGGATCATACCTAGGCTTGAATTATATTTCTAGTCTGTAGCGTTTTTTATCCTGTTAGACTATGTTGGGTTATGGTTTCTAGATCAGAATGGTCATGTCCATCTACACTAAGCTGATAGAAGTTTGAGCTCTATCATCGTATACTAATAGCATATTGCTAAGTGGGTACACATGGAAACTATTGGGGATCCAATTACTAAGAGTCAGACACTAATTATAGAGCAATTTCCCAAATTCAAACAGAGAAGAAGTTGATTATAAGCATCCCTTCAAGGAGTATAGTCAAATTGTCTTATATGTATATAATAATCGATATGTCATTTATAGTAGGACAAATTAGTAGGCATCGGTCCAATCTTAGTATGACTCACTAGGATGAGTCAAAAAGGATCCTCAAATATTTAATTTAGACTGCACTATATGTGTTATGCTATAACATCACAGACTCTCACCTATAAAGATATTCAAATGTGAACTGGTCTGATAACCTAGATAGCTGAGCATCAATGTCTGGTTATGCTCTTTTATAGAATGATGGGGGTCATTTCTTGGAGTAGTAAGAAGTAGTAGTGTATATGTGGTGATATACACAATAGTATTGGATGTAGTCTGGTTATACATAGTCTTGGAGAACTTGACTGTAGCATGACATTTAGAGAATGATGTGAATGATGTGATTCATCGTGATAGCAATTCGACTGCTGGTTATATGATAGGTGCAAATTAGTTTGGGAAATCAAATAAAATCTAGATTAGGTACCACTTCATTAAGCATTAAAGTGTAGGAAGAGGTCATGCTAAGTGTATCCCTATGAGTCA